TGCTTACGGCTGCAACTCAAATCAGATTAACCTCGTTGGTTTCAGCGATTGGTTCGAGATTTCGTGTTCTCAGATCGATTCATCCTCCACGATTTTATGTACAGTGATTAGAAAAATGAGATGTAAGACCGATTTATGTGGATATAATAAGGGGAATAAACGAATAATCACATTACTCAAAATTAGATTTGTAGAAAATCAATTGGACGTGATTTCATTAGCAGGTAAAACGACGCAGTATAAGGTTTAGGTATATAAGCTTATATAGGGTTGTTAGGTATATTCACTATTCCCATATATATATATATATATATATATATATTAATATATATTATTATATATATATATATAGGGAAATGATCAAATGAGAACACCTAAAAGGTTGAGAACGCGAGAACAGTTTTGGACCAATCAATATATAAGGGTATAAATGAAATTTTACATTATAATTAAATATGAAAAAATCAAGGTTAATTAATTGATTCCTAAATTTTAGGGTAATGAATTCGGTTACCTAAAAGTATCATGTTAATTGATTTTTTTACCACAAAACCAGGAATGTGTCTATTTATTTTATTAATTTATTAGAAATTAAGAAAACCTTGATCTTGCAAATACCGTTTTTTATTTTTTTTATGATACATGAAATATACCATAATTTGAAAATTAATAATTTAATAATTGTTCGTATATATTTATTTCAACCATTATTATAATCAAATATTAACACAGTGTTAATTTTAAATGAATTAAACATAATTACAAATAAAAGAACAATAAAATTCTAATCACAAATAAATAAAAAGAATTCATTCACTTTTTTTTTCAAAAAATGAATATAAATCCAAATCCAAATCAATACACTTGTATTCACAATGAAAATTTTCCTCAAAAAAACCCTAGTACTACTCCAATTTCAAATGAATACACATCATTTTACAAATAATTCAATGCATTTTTTTCATCAAATAATAAAAATAGTGTAAAAATTATCATTTCTTTTTAAAATGAATACCTCTAATCATAAATAAATATACTATTCACACATAAATACACTTATATTCATAAATAAATAATCATTTACACATGAATACACTGATATTCACAAATGAATACACTGTTATTAATAAACAAATACAAAATAAAAATAGTGTAAAAATTATCATTTCTTCATAAAATGAATACCCCTAATCATAAATAAATACACTCATTGATCACACATGAATACCCTGCTATTCATAAATAAATACAGTCATTCACATATAAATACACTGATATTCACAAATAAATATAAGAAAATAGTTGTTGCCCTCTCGTTTCAGCCCTCAATTCATCCCTTTTCTCATTCCTTTTTTATCAAGTATTACCACACCAAAAAGCACCATTTTAATGCTTAATTGTTGCTGAAATCAAAGACCAAGAACAACTACAAAAAACATTACCTTTCTGGTCATTGTTAGTTGCTGAATTTCAAGTAAATCAAGACCCAAGAAACCTCCATATTAAGGTTTAATTCCTCCACATGAATTAATATTCATGAAAACCTCGACTTCCAGCACAAATAGCGATCCCTAACCACCCCTGGTACATCGATGATGATCGATGTAGTCCCACTTCTTGAATCGAGTTTAATCTTCCAGACTCTTCTATAATTATCCCTATGACATCGATTTTTCCTGTTTTGCCTTCGGAACTGATAATGCAGCACGAATAGGGAGAACTCCCATCGATTTCCCGTAGATTCCTTCACTTCTTGAATGGATTTCACTTGTATGTAAAGAAACAGTATGAGCACAAACTATTTCCGACAACCAGGTCTGCCGTTGGCTCCTTGCGCTGCCCTAATACCACCGTATCGCCACCCCTGCTACATCCTCCTCCTTCTCGATCTCTCTTTCAGTCACACCCATTCTTTCCCGCATCTTCTAATTCTGTCTACTAACCCATTGCATCTAATTTCTCTCAGGATCTGTCGTGCTCACCCCCACGATCGGCACACATTGAATATGCGTGTGTGTGTCTCGTTGATTCCCGATCGACCAAACCCACTATAGCCTGATCATGTTTAATTTGATGAACTAATTTTTGCTCCTTCTGTTGATTCCATCCTTCTCCTTTCTTTAATCGAACCGAGAACCGGTGGTTTTTTCCCCTCCTCTTCGCGATAAATCTACCACCACCGAACCCTCCTTCTTTCCCTTTCTTCTTCTTCATTCGCTGCCAAGAATAACCACCATGAAGGTCTGATTTAGACAGATCTATTGAGACTGATGTACAGATGAGGGAGGCTTGCCCTAGGTATAGAGAGAAAGATGAAGTCGAAAATGGGGGAGTGAATGATGAAGTCGTAGGTTTATACAGAGAGAGATTGAGAGATTTTAGGAGTTGTTTAAAATAATGGAATGATTAATTACCATGATACCCTTTCTTATTTTAATTCAAATTAATTGAATTTAAACATTTTATATAACAAAATTACTAATTAATTATAGCCTTAGATCTAGATAATAGATGGATAAGGTCTGCTCTCGCGTTCTCAACCTTTAGGTGTTCTCATTTGATCCTACTCCGATTATATATAATATATTATATATATATATCTATATAATTTATATATATATATATATATATATTATCTATATATATAATAGGGTTAGGTTATTTTGTTTTTACTAACTATTGTGTGCCAGAATGCACAAATCTGGACCAACGGATGGAATTCATCAATGGACATGATTTGAGAGTGTATGATATTACAATGGGGTAGCATGTACCATATAATCATACAAATTTTAGCAAAAGGGTATTTTGGACAATTAACTACAATTATAAAAGGAAATTTTCGGATATTTATGGATAATTAATTCTCCTAATTTTAAAAATATGAATTTTTTTAATTAATTCAATTTTAATTCTAACATAATTTGTAAACATAACCGATTTTATTCTGTCAGAATATTTTTTTAGTTAGAATGATGCTCTTTCAGAATTTTATTCTATTATAATATTATTGAAGAATAACAAAGTTCTTGAATCTGAGGTTGGAAAATAACAACATTCTAATATATTCTTATACATCCAAACTTAAATACAAATTCATACATATTCTTACAGACTAAAAGTCTTATACATTTTAATATAATTATACATATTCTAAAGAATATTAACAAAAAATGAATAAAATTTTAAAAAATAACAACATTATTAAAATGTGAGTATGTTCAAACTTTATTCATTCTTCAAGTTATTCCTATTAGGTCTTCAACACATTCTTCCAGCTATTCCTATCACAAATACAACAAAAACTAATAATGGTTAAAAACATGTTGCTTGCAATTAACTATCACTTTATATATTCTGGTAGAATACATAGAATATATTCTGGCAGAATACATAGATTTTATTCTGGCAGAATATATTCTGACAGAATACCTAGAATACATTCAAAGTATCGTATTTACTGCTAATATATTTTAGATTCCAAATACACAATAACAAGGGAGAATAGAAATTGGAATTCAAAATCACAAAATGAACCAAAATAATACACAAACAAATTACTTACCTTTTTAAACAATTTTCTAGAACAAGATGAGTAGCTTTCACCAATCTATATTGGCATATGATATAAGCCTTTACTATGTTGGTATATGAAATCAAACAAAATTAATTCACTGTGTTGGCATATGAAATCAACCCCATCAGTATATACATAGAATATGGAAGACTATATAGTATACATTCTGACAGAATATTGCCCATACTTTCTTTGCTTGTGCTCCTTCAATGGTTTACCTGTAAGTTACAAATCAACAACACAATTACTTACTCAATTTTCATGAGATGAGATAACATAAATTAATTTCATGATCATTCTTTTAATTAGGCCTATTGAAATTATATATCCATATGATGCGAGAATTGAACCAAACAAGATTAGTGCACTTTACACAAACATAAATTGATAATTGAACCAAACATAATTGAAAGGTAAACAACTATTTGAAAAAGTAAAAACAAAACCATTACTCAAAATATAAGAACTATCTAAACTCAGTAACAATTCACTTAGGACCATAGAAAAGAGTTTTTAATGGACAAGTGACAAATTACAAAGTAAATCTTCATTTAGGCATTTAGTCGAACACTTGGTCTGACTGAAATCTATCAGAAGAGTTAAAATATATAATTTAAATTCAACAAAAAAAATCGATTAGAACCCAAAAATCGCAAAAACAGAGGCTTTAAATTGGAGAGAAATTGTAAAAGAAAGATGATGTTTTTTTCAACCCTTTGAATCGACTTACCAGAAGGCCGAAATAGAGGCTACATACGAGATTGAGAGGATGACAGGTGAGCTTTTGTTTCAGCGATTGAAACTTTTTTGGGGTCGAGGTCGACTTCTGTGGGGATGGTAATGAAGGGACGATGGTTGTTGAAGAACAAACACCCACGATGAACAAACACCAGTGAATTGGGTGGGAATGGGAGCGCAATCACTTGATTTGCTGAAGTGAGAAAATTGAAGATGGAAAAAAAAAAAGGTATCGACGATTTGGAGGAAGCTAGGGTTTATAAAAATATTGCAGATTTCATTTAATGATTTTCCAAAGATACAAGATTTATTTTTGGTTTAAAAATATAAAATGACCAAGCTACCCTTATTCCTAAAGTTAATGATTTATATTTTTCTAAAATCTCATTGGTCCTTTCAATACTTGTCAAAAAACATTTGAACCTAACTATATATATTATATATATATATAATATATATATATATATCTATATATATATATATATATTATATATATATATATATATATATAATCATGGGGATTAGACAAATGGGAAGTCATTAAAGCCCTTGCTGGCCATCGAGAAACCCTTTTCTTAAGGAGATCTCATCACATGCTGTAATCACTTGTGATCTGTCATGTTTCCTTGTGTCACATGATATAAATATCCAACTCGACGGAACCCATTTAGTGCAAACGTCCCAAATGGCTAAGACCTACGTAAGACAAAACTCTCATTCAAGGTCTATCAGCTTGCCTTGTGGGCCGGTTTGTATGGAGGACGAGTACAACAAACTCATGGGTCTGGGTGAACCATCGAGCCCGACTTCTGAGAATCTCATGGAGGAAGATGACATCGATCAGAGTTCGTCATCAAGCCGTGGTCTAATTCTCATGGTGACTTCAATGGTGTTGATCTTCATAGCTGTAGCCATGGGAATGAGTAAATATTCGAAGGATGGGTTCTGGTTGACTACCAAAAAGGGATTGTTCATGTCTCAGTGAAGACTTTAAGGGGTTTTACGATCGACGGGCAGTATAAATTCCAACCGTCAGGTGTATTCTGTATCTTTTGAATTAGGGTTTATTTATCTTTATTAACCTTTTGAATTTAGTTTTGTTCATCTTGTACTCTTCGTCATCTTCTCATAATGGAAAGAAAAAATTTTAAAAAAAACAATTAAACCCTAGTCAAGCACAAATCATAAGCATGATTCATTTAAGCTTGTATCAAGGTCAACTTAAGCAAGTTCTGTTTGACTGTAGCTTTCTATGGCTTTTAAACCCAATGAGGTTTTTGACTCCTGACTTATTACAAGTTACTAGCCTCACGAAATAGTTTATCGATTGTACCTTTTTTTAAACTGCCCGCTAACATACACATCTTTTAAATCCTACTTTTTAACTGCATATATATATATATATATATATATATATATATATATATATA